AAGACATGTGTGAGGGAATTTTCACTGTGATTAGACGTTGAATTAGAACAGGAAACCAGGCAAGGATCCAAAGCCCAGAGAAAGCAAAACATCTTACGGAGTGTGATACTCCGAGAAGGGGGCAGAACCAGGATACAGAATCCCAGGTCTGTTGGATTCTGAGCCAATATTCTTGACAGTAAACAGCCATGCCGCTTATGGCACGTGGCCAGAAATTCAAAGCCAAAGGATGAATATGGTGTGTTTAACTGAAATCTTAATTTTACTTAAGATTTACTTAGTATGGAAGTAGGAGGAAGGTAATTAAACCCGTAATTTATTTTAAATGTTTCAATTTAAAATAAATGCTGTTATACTGTGGTACACAATACACAATGTGTATGAATGTTTTGGAAAAATGCAAAATGCTTCCTAAAATCTGCTTTTCAGTGGGCTCCTACAGGCACCTCCCCATACTCTTTAAAAACATGTGTTCTCTCTGCCATGAGGGGCACTTTGTTGGATAGAAAAGTTTGAGAAGTGTACATTTATATTACCTTATGAAAGGTAGGAAAGGTTTTGAGGAACACTAAGAGTTTTCCAGTTTGAATCTCCCCTATCATTTTCCTCCCCAAGAGAGTTAGAATTTAAACAAGCAGAATTATTTTGAAAAAAAAAGTATCTATTTCAACATATTTGTGCTCCTTTACTATTACATAAATTTCTTAACAGTAACCTAGATTACCAGTTAAAAGAACCTATATTCGTGGAAATCCCATAAGTTTATATTAATAATAGTTCTAGACTAGGCTCTAGATGAGGCTCATGGTCCTTACCTATGGCAAGTGTATAGTAAAATGAGCAGAAAAACATTAGCTCCAGTGGACTCAACAACGAACAAGAAAATAATTTCCTTTATCGTGTTAGTACCGTATGACATAAAGGTAAGAGACCTAAAAATGGCGGCTTAAATCTTTGAAAAGCCGATAGCTAGAGAAAGACGGTGATGTCAGAGTTGTGGATTTAAGAAGCTGTTTCTGGGATTCCTTCCAAATCCATTATCTAGAGAGGAATTCGTCCAAATGGAACCTACTGCCATCCATTTAAGCTGTTTATTTCAGAGTGTCGTGGAATTTAGAGCCAAAAGGTATCTAAAGCGTAGTGATCTTTTACTCTAACTCTTGTTACAGATGCAGAAACTGAGGCCAAAGGAGGTTAAGAAGTCACAGCCTATTACTAATGTGGAAACATTAGAAAATATGTTTTCATTTAATACTTATTTTTAAATAGTAATACTTCAGATAATGATGATAAAGGACAACTAGTAGCTGATGCTTTGCTGAAAGAACTGCCGAGTGGGGGCTTATGGGAAAATGTTAATCAAAGGGCACAAAGTTTCAGTTGGAGAAGAAGAGTACGTTTTGGAGCTCTGTTGCATAGTATAGTGACCACAGTTAAAAATAATAATTGTATATTTCAAAATTGATAAAAGAGTAGATTTTAAACATTCTCACCACAAAAAATAAGTTTGTGAGGTGATAGATATATTAATTAACTTGATAGAACTATTCTATAATGCATATAAAGATATCAAAAAATCACATTATATCCCACAAATATATACAATTACTATTTGCCAATTAAAATTTTTTAAAAATAAAGCAAAAATTTATACAATGGAAGTATTAAAGAAATGATAAACTAGAACGCTGCTCTACCTTAGAATGTCTCTCGAATGTCTCTCCCTCTCTACAGAAAAACCCACAATTCTTTGAGCTTACCCATTCTTTGCCTTTCTTTATGGTTTTATCACAAAAATATTTAGTTTTTCTTGCTTTTGAACATCATCTAAAAGGTTTTATCATATGTTGTCTTCAGTGACTTGCTCCTTTCATTTAAATCATTTTCAGTTTTGCTGTAGTTCATTCATTTCCCTGATGTACAGTCTTCTATTGTATGACTATAACAATTTATTATTCATGGATACCTAAGTTACTTCCAGATTTTGCTATTATGAACAATTTTGGTAAATGACTTTGGTGCACATTTTACACTGAAATTCCTGGGACATAAAAAATTTGCATGTTTAATGAAAAGTGGTCGTGCCAAAGTGTTTTCTAAATAACTTGCACAAATTTACCCTAACATAAAGAGTTAGAACTTCGTCCCTTGTTCAATGCCCTTGCCCAGATTTGGGATTTTAAGTTTTTTAAAATTTGGCCAATCTAGCAAATGTGAGGTAATATTTCATTGTGTTTTTTGACTTTTTTTTTCTTCTTTTTTTTATTTCAAAATGTTAAGGGGGTACAAATGTTTTCGTTACATGGATAGCTTTTGTAATGCCTGAGTCAGGGCCATCAGTGTGCCCACCACCCGAACAGTGTTCACTGTACCTATTAGGTAGGTTTTTGCCCCTCTCCTCTACCTCAACTCCCCGCTGTTTGACTTCCAATGACTTTTATTTCCCTCTGTGCACATGTGTGCCCCTTGGCTAGCTCCAATTTATTAGAGAGTACATGCGGAGCTTATTTTTCCATTCTTGAGATACTTCACTTAGGATGATGGTCTCCAATTCCTTCCAAATTTCTAAAACAGACATTAATTGATCCTTTTTATGGCTGAGTAGTACTCTGTGTTATACATATACCACATTTTGTTAATCCACTCATGAACTGATGGGCACTTGGGGTGATTCCACATCTTTGCAACTGTGAATTGTGCTGTGATAAACATTTGGGTGCATGTGTCTTTTTGATAAAATGACTCCTTTTCCTTTGGGTAGATACTCAGTAGTGGGACTGCTGGATCGAATGGTAAATCTACTTTTAGTTCTTTGAGAAACGTCCATACTGTTTTCCACAGGGTTTGTACGAATTTGCAGTCCCCCCAACAGTGTATAAGCACTTTCTCTGCATCCACTGTTCTTGGGCTTTTTAATAAAAGCCGTTCTCACTGGGGTAAGGCTGACTTTCTCTAATTATAGATGGGGTTAAGTATCTTGCATTGTCCCTTATTAGTCATGTAGGGTTCTTCATCTGTATGTGCCTAGTGAAGTCCTTGGTATGAACATAATTAGATTGGAGCATATGTTCTTACCAGCATGTGGGAGCTTGGGTTTTTATTCTAGATTCTGATTCCTTGGGTGGTTTACGTGCATTGCAAATATGGTGTCTTTTGATGACCAAGAGTTCTGAACTGCAATAAAGTCAAACTTATTAAGCGATGCCTTCAAGTTTTAAGAAATGTGTCTCTATCTTTAAAGTAATAAAAATAATGTTGGTTTGGTGTCTTCCTTTCTAAATCTTTGTACTTTTGTGTTTTTTTGGCTAAATTTTGTATGCTACCAGTTCCAATGGGATAGACTCTGGAAGGGACTCTAGTCACGCCGGGTCCTGAGATGCAGACAGTGGGGAGCAGAGCCTCTGGGCAATCTCCAACAGACGCGCAGCGTCAGCAAGAAGTAAACCTTTGTTGTTTTACAAGAAAAATTTACTACGCTTTATTAACTTTATCAAATGGTAAGAATCTAGTTACAAAATCTCATGGTCAAGGGAAGTAACAAGTTAGATTTTCTACCCACTCATTCAAACCTTGACCCCCACATATAATTAGATCTTCAGGAATCAGTTTTAATAACAGAAGATAATACTAAAAGGCCACTAATATGCAACTCAACAGGCATACACCGTATGACTAGTGTGAAACTGTACTAAGCTACACTTCAGCACTGATAACACTGATCTTCCTCTCAATCCTGGAAGCAAGGCCGGGCACAGTGGCTCACGCCTGTAATCCTAGAACTCTGGAGGGCTGGGGTGGGAGTATCGCTTGAGTTCAGTAGTTCAAGATCAATCCTGGGTAGTAATTCAGTGTAGGCTTAGAGACCTCTAGAGACAAAAAGCTCCAAAAGTAGCTCATTCCATCTTTGGAAATTGGCAAGACAGCTCTGATCATGAAATTCATGCTCTTAAAGTTTGTGTATAGAATAATCCTAACCCTTTCCTTAAGGTAAAACTTCATTTATTGGAAAACAGATCTCCCACGGAGTATTTTCTAATCTCAGATTTTTTTTTTTTTAAAACTTCCTCAGAATATAGACAGGAGCATTAATTTGTTGCCATGCTAATTTCTTTAATGACCTAGTTTGAAGGTTATTTCAAATCATACGGAATTTTTTCTCCTAATAGTCCAAAGAAATTGTTACTAGATTTTCGGCATCTCTAAGGCATTATTGAGTTTTTATTCACGTTTGTATTCTGGCCCCGAGCACAGTGTATGACACACCTATAGGTCGTCATTAAATGCTGACTTCACATGGATAACTTCACACTTAAAATTGTTATGTGGAAAAGGAAAAGCAAGTGTTAAGAACTTAATCTACAGTATATAAACAGAAACGAAGACAACCCAATTTAAAAGACTTGCTATGGTCAACACAGTGGAATGACAGAACCAACGCATCTAAAATTTCTGAATTCTGAAAACTGCTACTGCGGTTTTGAAATGGGCAATTATATTATCTGAATGAAAAATCAGGACATACAGCAAAAAACTATGAATTTTACTTTGAATTTTCAATTTATGATTATTAAGTCTTATAAAGCTTAAAAATTAGTTAACTATTCATTTTATGAATTATTTTATAAACTGGATTACACTGGAACAGCCCTATAAAAAATACAGTTTAGTGACCATATCAGTCTACCATATCAAAGTAACAACTTCTAAGATGTGTTACATAACACGATTCTGTTGCTTTTCCTTCTGTGAATGTATACCTTTCCTTAGTGAGACCTTAAGCTTAATAACTTTTGATGAGGAATTTTTTAACAGCAAAGTTATCACGTAATATTTCTGGAGCGTTAGGCCATAACTAGCTATAAAGTTACAAAAGAAAGAAAAATTTCCTGCAGTTCTAGAAAAGGTATTACTCATGGTTTGAACACAGTTTTATAGCAATGAAAATGTGTAACAAAGACAATGCTTGGTTACAAAAGGAAAACGTGGAGGTCCACTCTTACCTGCTTAAAGAGCTGGAGGTTAACTGCAGTTTCCAAGAACTGCTTCATCACACTCGAGCGGTGCTTGACGAAACTCTCCTCACAGAAGGTGACAGGCTCACCCTGGGCAGAAGTAAAGATTTTAAGGGCATCAGTGAAAGGTCAGTCACAGGGAACCAGTCTCTGTAAGGAGCCACACGAAGAGTCATGCAGGAGGTGTCAGGTACAGAAACAGAGTCTTATACATAATAATAGTTGGATTTCAGGTTAGTAGGAATATTCCTCTGCTGATAATCAAGGATTCCTTGGACTCTTAAAATTGCTAAATTTCACTCCCTCAAAGTGAGAGTAAATCCCCTAAAAACAAAGATTTGACATTATCAGACTCGACTGTATTAAAAACAGCATACCTGAAAAGGACTGGTAATTTTATTTAATCATGATTAGAAAACATTCCACCTATAACAACTGCTGCATGATTTTTGCCATTTATACTTATGCTTTTATGATCATTAAATTATTTTTAAAATAATGAAAATGTTTTACAATCACTTTATCTTCGTGATTGAAAATACAGTTCTGATTGGCCATCTTTCCTGGATAAGTCCTACCCGGCTTCTGCTTTTATTCATCCTTTGTGCCAAGTAATCACATCTCTGCAAATGTCCTGTGGCAGCTCCACCAGATGCTCCTTCTCCCAGTCAGCAAGGACTTAAATCCCAACTCCTACAAATTCCACTGGTTCCACTTATCCCCCTTACGTGACCACGGAAAGTCGTCACCCACTGGCTGATCCCACCACCTGCTCCTGCCCTCGCCAGCACTACGGCTCCCCCCGGCACTCGACGCGTGAAGGAAGGTCAGTGACTGAGCTCACGATCAGCATGGAAACAGAGACTAATGACAACGATCCATTCACCACAGCGAACCTTGCACCAATCGTTATGTTGCAGGGAAAAGGGGAAAGCGCCGTGTTTGAGAAAGGCATCTTATGGGAGAAACGCGTTTGCACTCAGGATGCTCTAACCGTCCCTCCCCAGGCAGCTTGCTGGCCCCGCCTGCGGCTCACAGCAGCTCTGACGGGGGG